GGTGCTTGTGACTTCGGAAGGAGATTTGATTGCCGGGTTGCGCTGGGGTTTTGCAAATGAGCGTAGCTATGTCTCAGCAAGTCTGAAAATTTCTTAGGGAAGAAGTTGTCATTCGGCACAGCCTCGGGTCGGGACGTGAGCCAGGCCTCGTGACCACAGACTGGGTTCTCCTTGCGATTTGGGTGTCTTGAGCAAATTGTGACTCCTCTGCTTTGAGCTCGTTCCAAGTCTTGAGTTGATACCGTCTGTTTTGTTGCATAAACTGGATAATTTGGGAGCTGGGCCTGCAAGTTGGCCTTCTTCGTAGTGAAGGCTCGGGTCGGAGCTTGGGTGAGCTTGTGCTTCGGCAACGTGGCTTCAGCAGTGTCGGTTTGGGTTTGTTGGACAGAGACCTCGAGTGCCCCCTCGATTTTCCCACGACACGTGCTGTTCGGCAAGGGTGAGGGTGGTGTTAAATTGTGAGCCTGGTCTGGAGCTATGGCAAGGATCCGATTTGGAAGAAGAGACTTCATTTATTTGGTTAGAGCACGGAGCTGGACTTGCAGGTTAGAGCTCAGGCTCCGGTAGTAGGTATGATCGTGATCTCAGTGAGTTGAGGAGCTGGTTCGGCATAATCCCTTCGGTAGGTTGACGTATATACCCATGTGAGCTCCCCAAAAATATTTTCATAGGCCTTGCCGTTCGGCAAGGCTAGTTTGCTGAGTTTTGATGATCTTTGTTTTTGCATAGACATTCGGCAAATGAGCTGAGACCATGAGTTTTTGCTGATTTGGCGTGTTGCTACCGTTCAGCGGGCTGGTATTTATTTCTCGAGTAGAGGTGGGTGTTGTAATCTTTCGGTAGGGGGCTATTTGGAGCTGGGAAGTTTGTGTTGTTTGAGCGGTGCTGGGCCATTCAGCAAGTGGGTACTTGGGCTTTTGACGCCTTTAAATTTCTGCTTTTGTCTTGAGCTTTGAATTGGAGCTGGGCCTTGTAAAGGTAAGGAAGATTAAGTTTGTGAGCCTCCCAAATGTCTTTCGTGAGCCTTGTCGTTGGCTAGCTTGAAATGACCCGATTAGTCCTTTAAAAAATACAGGTTTTTCTTGTGATGGGTGCTGTTCGGCAGGATTCGTGAAGGAGAAAATGTTGTTGCACATGACCTTCGTGAATGTTAATGGCCCCTAGTTTGAACACAAGCCTTGCCCCCGGTAACGGTCTGGTCTTCCGTTGTTTCATATCACGAGCTTGCCGTTGCAGCGCCACTTTTTATATGTCGATTTGAAGTCCATGATCATGATATTTCGAAGAGGCATGACAGAAGAAGAGTCCGAGAAAGCTGATAACAAAGAGAAAGTTGATGGACCAAAGCAAGCCTGGTTCTTTGATATCACTAATATCTGCGCATTGCTAGGCAATGAGGAACTTGGTCTAGCCCTTGAGTGCCTTTTTTTTTTTTTTTTTTTTTGTGTGTGTGGGGTAGCTGAGGTGATGTTCCTTTGTTTGAGCATGGATTTTGACAGTCAAGTTTATAACTGTGCGAAGTAGTTGACACTTGCCTTCCCATTGGGTGTCTTGATTAGTTTAGTGGCTGGGTGCTGTATGGCTTGGCCATCCAAATTGCTTTAGACTTTCAGCTAGTTGTCATGTGGGCCTCCCATTAGATTGAAATGGTGGTTGGCCTCTTTAGCCCTGCAAAGTGATGCTATTGGTGACTTGGAATATTTGGCAATTGCCACATTGGTGCATCTTTAAAGTGGCCTGGATAGCTTTTATTCATATGCAATATTCATGAACCATATTGTTGAATTATTTAAATATCACATGCTCGCAATATTTATATAAACGAAGAGAAATCTTATCTTGTGGTGAGGATATGCGTGGGCATTGCTCATATCAGAGAGGTTTGCCGAAGGCATTGCATGCGCTTCATGATGACGAGGTGCCGAAGGCATTGCTTGCTTCGAATGATGATGAGGTGCCCAAAGGCATCACTCAAGCTGAATGACGATGGGGTGCCGAAGGCATCGCTCGCACCTATTTGTGGCTGGGTGCCGAAGGCAACACAAAGCTTGCATGTTGCAAGGCATTATGGTTAGACACGGGATTGCCGAAGGCAACACAAAACTTGCGTATCGCAAGACAATATGGCTAGGCACGGGGGTGCCGAAGGCAACACAAAGCTTGTATGTCTCAAAGTGATGTAGCTAAGCACGGGGGTGCAGAAGGCGACACAAAGCTTGTGTGTCGCAAGGCAATGTGGCTAGGCATTGGGGTGCTGAAGGCAACACAAAGCTTGCATGTTGCAAGACGATGTGGCCAAGCACGGGGGTGCAGAAGGCTACACAAAGCTTGCGTGTTGCAAGGCAATGTGGCTAGGCAAGGGGGTGCCGAAGGCAATACAAAGCTTGCATGTCGCAAAGCGATGTAGCCAAGCACGGGGGTGCAGAAGGCATCTCCCACGCCGATTAATGGCTAGGTGCCGAATGATGGCGGGGTGTTGAAGGCATCGCACAAGCTATATGATGAAGATTGTATGAGTGCCGAAGGGCACTGGGGAAGGGGAAAACGACATAAGCATTTTGTATCAATTCCCACAGACTGCGCCAAACTGTTGATGCTTTTTTTGGGAGGTCAACTTAGAGAGTAGGTGATAGTGAATGATGAGTGAAGGTGAGGACCTTCAGCATGTGTGTAAAGACTTGGGCAAGCGATAAATGTAAAGAAGACAAGATATACGTGGTTCACCATTAATGAATGGGCTACGTCCACGGAGAAGTATGTTCTCATTAAAATAGTGTATGATTACATTTGTACATGAGGTTGGACTCGAATATAAAGATGACAAGTGAGATGCCCAGGCCAGGGATTTAGGAGAGAGTCCCCGGCCCTAGGGTCTAGCTCTGAGAGCCGAATCCTCTTCTAAGTGGAGAGAAGCATTCCCCTTTTCACATGGATACTATTCCTTATTTATAGGGAGGTGAAAGTGAGAGGTTTGTGTAGATTTTCGATGTGGAACTTTGCACAAGTCGCTGTAGTGGTGACACATGTCTTGGAGATTAGGTTATGCAATTTGGAAGCTTCAGCAGTCGAGAGCTTGTCTTCCTTCAGCATGGAAGAAAGCGTGTGTGCCTTTAGTGCTAGTCACTTTGAGACTGGATATGCTCGGTTGATTATGGTGTAAACAACCTCAGTGACTTTATCAATAGATTAGACATATGAATCAACACAATTATAGAATCGTGCTCAATGCTATATATTTTATTTTTAAAAAATATTATAACCCAGGTGCTCACGCGCCTAGGCTAGATTCCACCTTTTATTACATCCTAAACGCAAACATGCCGGAGTAAAAACAAGGAAAATGCGAACATGAAAAACTCTAAATAGCCTACAAATGCGATGACATAATTTTTTATTTCTACAAACAACCAAAGAACCGCATTTTGGACACGTGACAGCGGACATGCAACTTGAACTTCTGGATTTTCTCCCTGCAAAATTTGCATGAAAATGTTAGGAAGCAACACCTACCTTCTTAAAGGGCCCCATTGTTCAGTGGGTCCCTTTCACCTTCATCATCAAATCCTTCACGGCCCGACACAAGCATCCCAGCCTTATCACTCATGAAAAAAAACTTACATGTAATAGGAATAGCACTGTTTTGTTATCTCTAACTAATAATACAATGATATATGAAAAAGTTATTTTATATGTCATTGTATTATTGTGTCAATGATAATAAAAAATGCTATTCCCGTTACATAAGAATTTCTCTCCTCAATCGCCACCACTCCACTACTTGCGGTTATGACTCTTGGAAAATGAATATGAGAGTTGAATTGAAATCTCTTTTTTGATAATCACACACACCCCCGCGTGCACTACTTTATCAACACTTTCTTTTGTTATCCTTTATCAAACATTCTCCATGTCAGAACCCAGCATTTCATAATCAAGATTATTATATGTCATTATTTTTGTACATTTTGAAAATTTTATTCTTTAGTGATTTTCAACTTTGGAGAGGAAGGAATTGGTGAGGAGAGAAGGGGAAGCCACGAGAAGAGATGGGTGATGGTAAGGAGTATGTCTTTCTTTTCATATCGTCTTTTAAAAAACTTGCATAAAGGTGAATCAAATTTGTACATACATCGCTTTTAGGGTTATAATTTATGAAGTGATATGGTCAGTCTCACAATAATTTAGGGTTAAAATAGGGATGTGTTAAAATAGGGATGGAGTGACAACCACACAATTTTTTCCCTTCATTAATGGAGAAGTATATATCAATACACAAATGACCACCTTTGTTTGATGAACTTTTCTAGATCTGTTGCTTTGACTGTTTAGAGTGCTTAAAGTGGACTTTTCTCGTTGTTTTGTAAACATCTTCTCCCTACACAACTCTACTTTCCTGGTCGCATGTTCTGCGAAAGTCTCGAGAGCTATGATGCAAGCGATTATGTCACTTTGAAAAACCCGTCTTCTCCATTTGGGCTGTCAATTTACCTTTCGTTCTTTCTCGATAGTCACAGCATGCATTATAAAAAAAAACTCATTCACGCATCTATTATCCATGCATCACAATGAGATTGTCTGAAACTATGCGACTGAATCCAAGCGAGTGAATGAACGAGTCAGGGGTTTGTAAAGAGCAAAGGACTATAAAAAACACTACCCGGAATAGGAGTCTTGGCTAGTTTGAGCTGGAAGACGAGTCAAAGAACTCAAAATAGCAGGAAGAGGCATAATAGCCATCAACCGGAAGCAGTGCAGAAATAGGAGGAGAGCTTGCCGACAAGGAAAGAGTTGCCTGACCGTGAGGAAGGCCCTAGACAAGTGACTGACTGACCGTCAGACTCCTTAAACCTTGACCCACCTTCCTGTCGTAGGCTTGCTTCCCTCTGAAAGTTCTTTCTTTCCTTCTGCCACTAGTAGCTGTCTCATTCCTCACTTATTATGCAACTTCGTATTTGTAGTATTCTTAGTCAATCTCATCACATGACTAATCAATCAACTTGACTAAATCAACAGACGTATCCAACGGGGAAATACAGAAATTTCTTCCTCTGTCAGCGTAGGAAAGAAAAATCCCAACTCCGCACATAGCCTACTTCTATATATAACGTTCATGTCGAAGCTAAGTATCCCAAACACAAACACAACCACAAAAACCAATCCCATCCCAATTTTTATCACAAACACAAACACAACCACAAAAACCAATCCCATCCCAATTTTTATAAAACCTATACTTCATCTTCTTTTCAACTCCCAAACATGGTTAGCCAAAACCGACCATTCCATGTATTCTTGTTCCCTTTCATGGCTCATGGCCACATGATACCAGTCTCAGACATGGCCAAGCTATTGGCAGCTCAAGGAGTGGAGACAACCATAATCACAACCCCTCTAAACGCCCCAACATTCTCTAAAGCCACCCGATCAAGAAAAACCAACTCCGGCAGCTGCGGCATCGAAATCAAAATCAAAACCATCAAGTTCCCTTCTCAAGAGGCTGGGCTGCCAGAAGGGTGTGAGAATCCGGACTCACTTCCCACACCAGAATTAGCCAGTAATTTCTTCAAAGCAGTGGGCTTGCTCCAAGCACCACTCGAACAGCTTCTGCTTGAAGACCAGCCAACTTGCCTTGTGGCGGACATGTTTTTTCCTTGGGCAACTGATGCCGCTGCAAAATTTGGCATTCCAAGGCTGGTTTTTCATGGGACTAGTTTCTTTTCCTTGGCTGCATCAGATTGTGTGAGGCGATATGAGCCTTTCAAGAACACTTCATCTGATTCAGAACCCTTTGTGATTCCCAATTTTCCTGGGGAGATCAAGATGACAAGAGCCCAGGTCCCTGATTTTGTTAAATACAATATTGAAAATGACTTGACCCCGTTGATAGAACAGGCTAAGGAAGCTGAGGTGAGGAGCTATGGGATTGTTGTCAACAGTTTCTATGAGCTTGAATCAGTTTATGCGGATTATTTCAGAAAGGTATTGGGGAGGAAGGCATGGCATATTGGTCCTCTTTCTTTGTGCAACAGGGACAATGAAGAAAAAGCATACAGAGGAAAGGAAGCCTCCATTGATGAGCATGAATGTTTGAAGTGGCTTGATTCAAAGAAACCCAATTCAGTGGTCTATGTTTGCTTTGGGAGTGTGGCTAAGTTCAACAATTCTCAGCTAAAAGAGATTGCAATTGGCCTTGAAGCCTCTGGGGTGGAGTTCATTTGGGTTGTGAGGAAAGGCAAAGATGATTGTGATGTGGGCAAAGAGGATTGGTTGCCTGAAGGGTTTGAAGAGATGATGGAAGGAAAAGGGCTAATCATAAGAGGGTGGGCTCCACAAGTCCTGATTCTTGATCATGCGGCTGTTGGGGCTTTTGTGACTCATTGTGGATGGAATTCAACATTGGAAGGAATTGCCGCTGGGCTGCCTATGGTGACATGGCCGGTGTCTGCAGAGCAATTTTACAATGAGAAGTTGGTGACCCAAGTGCTGAAAATTGGAGTTGGTGTTGGTGCTCAGAAGTGGTGCATTAAAGTTGTGGGGGATATTGTAAAGAGGGAAGCTATTGAGAAAGCTGTGACTCAGATTATGGTGGGTGAAGAAGCAGAGGAAATGAGAAGCAGAGCCAAGGGACTAGCAAAGCAGGCAAGAAGGGCTATTGAAAAGGGAGGTTCATCACATTCTGATTTGAATGCTCTCATTGAAGAGTTGAGTTCCCATAGGTAAAGTTGGACCTCACATACGTACAAAATGAGATATTACTTTGATGTGGAGAGGGAAGATAGGGTGTTATGTTTTTTCCCCATAGTTAATGCCATTTTGCATATCGTTTGAAAAAGAAAAGCAAAAAACAGATATTAGGTTGATGCATTTGTAAACGTTGATGAGAAAAATGGTTAAAATGTATACTAGTCGTTGGGTTTTTGAAATAGCCCCTTTGTGTTGATGGAATATGAGATTATGAGAAGACGAGAAGATGATGAAGCAGCAGAGCCAGAGGGCACCTCCTTGCCCCAACTGCTGCCAAAAAAGACCATTTTTCCGATCCATTTTAAGGAACAATTGATAGGGCTTTGATGGAAGGATCATTTTGATACTAACATGGACGGTACTACTAACAAGCTAACCTGGGCTATAGCCCAAGAGACTTGTTTTTTTTAAAGACTAAAATAATACCCTTGCCTAGGCCAATCTTATTAACTAATCCCCATTAGGCTGGCTAACCAACAAAAAAAAAAAATTACAAATTTATAAATAAACCAAATCCTAGATATGTATTTATAAAAAAATCCAAACACTATTTAAACATAGAAACAAACCCAAAATCAACCCCAAAGTCAATAATTGTATATTTTTTGGGTGTGTTTATAAATGGGTTTTGAGTGTGTGTAATGATGGATTTTGGGTGTGTTTATAAAGTGTTTTGGGTGTTGGATTTTTTTATAATTTCAGCTCTAATTTTGGGTGTTTTAGTGAAACTCCCAAAAAAAAAACCAACACTCTTATCGATCGACTGCACCAGTTCCAAGGCTGCTTCTTCTCAACTCCACAGAGGTCTTTTTCCTCTACCTTTGTATTGAGCTATTGTTTTTTGGGGAATTCTAGTAACAATTATGCTAATTTGGAAAATGACTATTTTGAATATATATTATTTTAAATATATGTTATTTTAATAGCGGTATCGGATATGAGGTTTTTGAGGGGTGAGACTCATTATGTCCCCTGTGTATTTTTTTGTTATCAATGAAATTCATTTGTAACGTCGAGTTTTCAATAAGTTTGTACGTAAGGTTAGCCCACGTTATTTTCAAATCCTGAATCCGTCCCTGGATACTAAATCGAAAGTTGAGAACTATTGAAATGAAAAATTTAGCCCGTAAATCAAAATGAAACTTAAGCAACAATTAAGAGACCATTTCAGTCAAAAGCCCTAATTTTATTTATAAAAATAAATACGATTAATTATGTTTCCATAATGTTACCGAAAACCTAGTCAGCTTTTGTGTGCGTTTCTGCAGCTATTTGGATACGTGATAGTGGACATATAACTTGGACACCTAGATTTTCTCCATGCAAAATTTGCATGAAAATATTGGGAAGCAGCACCTACCTTCTTCAAGGGCCCCATTGTGGGTCCCTTTCACCTTCATCATCAGACCCTTCAGGGCCAGACACACGCATCCCAGCCTCGTCACTTGCCACCATTCCACTACTCGCCGTTGAAGCACTTCTACCTATTTCCTTTTGTCATGACAAAAGGAAGTCTAAGCTCTAAAAACAACCTCTATTCAAAGAAAAATTGTCATGGCAAGAAGTGGATCATGAAACTGGTCAAGTCTAAAGGCAAGATTTGCTTGGGCAAGTTGATGTTATGCTAACATCCACGATCAATTTAAATACCAAAAAAATTGAAATAAAAAAAAAGTAAACAAAATCAGAATTTTTTTTATTTTTTATTTTATAAATACCTAGCCGTATTTTTCACTTCTCACACCAAAATCCATATAAATTTCTCTCCTCACATCCTATATGAATAGTAGTTGCCCTTGGATTGTTATGTCAATGGATGAGAATGCATCAAAAAAATTGTTAAGGTAATCACTATTCATATAAATAGTATCTACCCTTACTTGACCTTGTCCTTTGTCCTAGTACAACGGATGGTGAAAGTGCTCTTATGACTCTTGAAAAATGAATATGAGAGTTGAAATCTATTTTTTGACAATCACACACACCCCGCGTGCACCACTTTATCAACACATTTTTTTTTTCTTTATCAAACATTCTCCGCGTCAGCAATCAGCATTTCATAATCAAGATTAATATATGCCATTATTTTCCTATATTTTGAAAATTTTATTCTTCAGTGAATTTTCAACTTTTGAGAGGGGAATTGGTGGGGAGAGAAGTGAAAGCTGCGAGAAGAGTGATGGGTGTTTTTTTTATTTCTTTCGAATTGAATAATTGGTCAATACTTGTTCTGAATTTCAATTTAACAAACTTCATACAAACTTCTTGGTGGAAATAGAACATGTCTTTCTTTTCATCTTATCTTTTAAAACACTTGCATAGAGATGAGTCAAAATTTGTACAGACATTGCTCTTAGGGTTATAATTTAAAGTTCGAAAAAGAGAAAGATGAATATAAAAGCAAAAAATGAAGCGATATGGCCAATTTGTCGATAATTGAGGGGTACATGAGTAGATTTATCTATTATAAAAGTTTGTGGGAAGTGTTAAAATAAGGATGGAGTGACAACCACACAATTTTTTTTTTTTGATTAAGACCACACAATTTTTTTCCTTTCACTAATAGAGATTCAAACTTGTGATCTTCTTCATTATAAAGAGAAGTATCAATACACAAATGACCACTCCTTGAAATCATGAGTTTAATATTATTCATTAATTTCCTTATCTTCCTTCGTTTGATTGACTGTTTAGAGTGCTTACTTTTCTTCTTGTTTTGTCAACATCTTCTCCTACGCAACTCTACTTTCCTGGTCACATGTTCTTCGAAAGTCTTGAGAGCTATGATGTAAGCGATTATGTCACCTTGAAAAGTCCTAATATTATGTGGTTACCAAGTAAATTCCCTGCGTCTTCTCCATTTGGGCTCTCAATTTGTCTACATCCACTTTAAAGTAGGCACAATTTTTCCTTTTTAGAAATTAGGAACTCCTATTTTCTTGTCAATTATAATTTGACATGTGTGTATATATTTTTCTTTTTGTATTTTTTTTATGAATTATTTTTGCATATGTATCAAACTGTAATTTGCAAGAAGTAGGAAAGCCTCCTACCTTTTTTAATGGCAAATAACTTTTCAATTTCTTTTACATTAAAAATCTAGTGCGCGTCTAGCAAAATGCCAAGTGCCAAACTTAGTTTCAAACATACCATGAAGATTAGCATTTGTACTTTTGGCATCCGTCATGTACCAAAAATGAGAAGAAAATGAAATCGTTAAACATTTGTAATTAAAAAAAAACTATAATTAGAATGGTATGTAACACCCCGACTCCGTTATTTTCCTATTTTAATTTAATTAAGGGAAAACATTAAATTACTCCTGGGTTAAGGGTGATTTTGGTCACTTTCTTATCCGGGAAGATTTTGGGACCGTGAGTGGTGTGGCTGCGTAGGTGGTACTGAGACGAAACCGTAGACAGGCGGTAGGCCTGAATCGGAGATTTAACGAAGTTTTGGCGATCAAAACTTGTTCGGTGGCAGAACCGTAATTATTTCGAAGTAAATTTGGGGTAAAATCTGATTTTTCACATTTACCCCTCACTCTCTCTCTCCCTCCCGCGTACACTCTCTCTCTCTCTCTCCCCGACCCTCTCTTTCTCTCTCTTCGGTTCTCCCAGTTCCGGCAACGAGAAGAGCCGGCACCGGTTCCGTTCGACTCCCCTCGAAGCCACGATCACAGCCCACCAGTTACCCTGACCGGAAAACGCGAAATCCGGCCGTGTTATCGCCTGCGCTA